CAAAACAAAAGGGTTGCCCCTTCACACTCAATTTCTGGTGAGTTTAGCCATATCCACTGACAACTAGGGGCAACTATTATAGGATGCATCTACACAGTCCTCCTGAAACGTGTTAAGCAGAGTTGTAACATCACACAATCTTTTAAAATTCAAAGATAAGCTTTGATTTCAAACTAAAGTTAGTTTGATAAGCTTCTCTTTCAACATTCTGTGATTCAAGAAGTCATGCAATTTCAGTTGGATGCTGAGCCACTTCCTATCAAAAGGATATTAAATTATAGATTCAAATTAATATAACTGTATTATAGTTCCTTATAGTTCTTTTTGCAGTATGTGTGTTCAAATGCCTGAAGGTGAAAGAACAGTTATTGAAACTACACTATTGTAATTTCCATTTGCATTCAAGTTAGAAAAAAATCAAATATCTATTTTTGCATTTTTTTTCCTCTGTAGTTTGGTTTTTCACACGGGATATTTGCTCAAAATGTAAATCAAAGGCAAGTGTTGAGTGCTATTTTAGGAACTGCACTGGGTGTCAGACTTCATGGTTTTAGATTTTCTAATCTCATGTCTAGAGCATTCAAGTGTAGCAACAGTTTTTTTCCCCTTTAATGGCACCTATTGCTGATAAATTTGACAGGGTCCTTAAACTGACTTTCAGTTACCAGACAAGTTCAACATGAATCATCTTGTATTTTTACAAAAGGACACAGAACTGAAAACAACATTATGCTTTTGACTTGGGGCTCATTGTGGCAAACAATATTGCACAATCAACTATTTATTTACACCGTTTTTTTTTGGGGGGGGGGATTATAAGAAGCACCAGAGTATAAGATGCACCAAGATTTTGAAGAGGTAAATTTTAAAGAAAAGTTTTTGCCCTCCCCGGCCCCCAGGAGCACTCCGCAGGCCCCCAAACCCTCTGCATGACCCATTTTTTTGTGAAAAAGTGTCATGCAGAGTTTGAGAGGCCTGCAAAGTGCTCCTAGGGGACAGGGAGGGCAAAAATGCGATGCGTGAGGGGTTTGGGAGGCAAAAAATGGCCCCATTTTTCACAAAAACGGGGAGTGCAGAGACTTTGGAAGGCCTGAAGAGTGCTCCTGGGGACTTGGGAGGGCAAAACCAGGGTGGGAAATAGGCCCATTTTTCGCTTGTTCCCCCCTCCCCCCCAGGAACACTTTGCAGGCCTCCCAAACCCTCTGCACGTCCATTTTTGCAAAAAAACTGGATGCGTGGGGCAGGGTTTCAGGAGGCAAAAAATGCTGCATACAGTGTATAAGACACACCCAGATTTTCACCCTCTTTTGGGGGGGAAAGGTGCGTCTTATACTCTGAAAAATACAGTAGTTTTCATTTATTATAAGTAAAATTTGTTGTTGTTTTTTTCAGAAATTTACTTTAGGTATTCTGTTTTACATTCCTCTGGATCCATTTTGTACACTAATCGATTCACTATTCAGATATACATTTTTTTTTAAAAACTGGGATATTTTATTTTTACAAAAAAAACCAAAATAGCTCACATGCTATAAGAAATTCAATAAAGTAGTTCACCATCAAGAAATAATTATTGGCTGATGATACATCCTCTGAGATTTAAGGCTCAGTGGAAAATTAACTATTTCCCCATAGCCATTGTTAACTAGACAGAAGAAATCCAAGTCTCTTTTCCATGGGGAAGTCTACCATAGACAAGTAGTACAGCTGTCAAGGAGGGGTAATTTCCTTTGCAGAATTTTTCTGAAATTAGTCAATTTTCATTATTTCCAATCAATCAAACCATGGATTATTGCTGTTTGTTTGTATTATTTTAATTGAGGCTGACTGAATTGATAGGTTTAATTTTGACTGTATCTGTTAATCTACGGATACTGTTAATTACTTGTATTATGTTGCAAACCATTTTAGGCAGAAATGAATTACTAAGAATTTAGAGGAACTTGACAGCAAATAATCAAGCAACATGCTGTAAAAAGACCAAATTAGAATATACCAATATCCCAGCATTATTTCAACATCTCTCATGAATACTATTTCACCACTATTTTAAACAACAAATTTAACCAAAGAATCCCAGAGGGAATAATGTGTTTTCTGTAAAGGTAGACATGACTTAATATTATCTTGTTCCTTTTTATTCAGAACTACATTTTGCTAAATTTGTAGGACCAACCAAATGTGCTGTAATCTTAACAACTGTAACCTTACAGTTTAGAAATTAATTGAATAGGTATTTTGAAATTACAACTAACATGCATACTGCATTGACACAAAAGCCAGGCAAACCTAGAAACTAATTAAAGTCTAACCATTTTAATTTGACTTAATTTCTGATGAAATTATAATTAATAATGGAATAAATTGGTCCATATAGATTTTTCAATTACATCTTCTCTACAGAAACCTTTTTTGTCTAAAATGCACTCCCTACAAAAGTAAGGAAACTAACCTTGTTAACAATTTAAAAGGTTTTAAAACATATTTTAACAATGTTTTAATTGTTGATGGCTTTATTTTCATGTTTTAATTGCTACTTTAATATTCTATAAAATATTTTATGTGTTTTAAAGTATCTGTTTTTTGTTTCATTATAAAACATGAGAGGTGTATTATGTACACTATATTAGTCAATAGTCTAACAGTTAGAAATAAATAAAAAGCCATGCATTGACAAGAGTTCCTTTCTTCTCTTCAAGGAAAAGGGCATATCTTAATATTGTTTAACACAAATGTGAATTTTTTAGGATAAGTGCTAGTTAATTGTAACTGAAAATATTTTATTAGCAGAATTTTTAATGTGTTCATATTTTAAATGCCCACACTGTAGTATGACATAATCAAATTACAAATGCTTGTTTAAATCATTTTGGCTTAAGTTTAATAGAAATGGCTAAATTTTAAACTGGGTAAAATTTGAGAAATAGTAAATAAATTGATACCCCAAAGAACTGTGAGATTACAGAATACTGGAAAATATATGTAACTGTGAATGCAACAAGTAAAACTTGCACTTTATATTGGCATATATATATAGCATTCAAATAGAAAAAATATATTATACTCTTATTTATTTTGTACTATACAAGGAACCAAATAATATTTTTCTCCACAACAACCACCTTATGAGATATGTTGGGTCCAGAGAAAGTGAGTTGGCCAGGTCACCCAGCTGACTTTCATTTTTAAGGAAGAACAACAATTCATTCTGTTTTTAATCCATTACACAAAAATATATTTGGATCTAACCAGATCATATGAAATATATAAACAATGCAGACTGAAAACGAGCTTTGGCTGAAAGCAGGCACACTGACCTACTTCAAAAATTCCAGTGCAGATTTGGTGACTCACAAACATACTTAAGAAGTAGTTCCAGTTCTATCACGCCTCTCTGATTAGCTACCCTAAATAATGACCATGACAAATTAACTTGGTTCTGGTTCACACAATGTATAAATTTAGCAATCACTTTATTATCTAAAGGAAATTATGACTTAGCATAAAATATACATACAGCTTATAAATTTATAAAGTGCTATTTCATTGTGTTTATATTTCCTACTACATTCATTAATATACCTAAGCATATAACATCTATGATTCTTACATTGGAAAGGCAAAAGACCATCCCATATTGGTGTCTGTTGCTTATACAGTAATTAAATACCCCATACTGTGATTACAAATATATTAAACATATGAAATATATCATATTTTAACATATTTATACAAATGCTCTCTCTGAATAGTAAAATTTCTGCAAAAAAAAACATAATACATAACAAGAAGATTTAACTGATTATAATGGATTCGTTTTACTTCCTATAATGGTTCTGACATTTTAAATCAAACTCATTCTGAAAAATGGGAAGCACATTAAAGCCCTCTGTCCTACTGCTCTTTCTCTAGAGTTTCTCACTTATCTATTTACCATTTGTGACTGGCTTTAATTATCTCATGTTTGAAACATACAGACATACTAAGTAACTTTGAAAGTTAAACCAGTCTGTTTAGTGGCAATGGTTAGGCTAGAAACTGGGAGAGGCTAGAAACTGGGAGACCACGAGTCCTAGTCCAGTCTTAGACACAAAATCAGCTGAGTGATTATGAACTCAGTCACTTTCCCCCAGACTAAGGAATGAGGCAATGGCAAACCACTTCTGAAAAACTTTGCCAAGAAAACTATAACAGTTGTTCAGGCCTGTCTCTGAAAATTGGACATGATTGAACTGGTGGGGGGGGGGGGGGATTGTAGGGTTCAAAATACACTTCTCTTGTTTGGGGTTCAGAGAAAAGGATTATGAAAATATAGCTCCCCACCTGGAAAAGCACAAAGTAATGAATTTAAAAGAATAATGGAATTGGAAGGGACCTTGGAGGTCTTCTAGTTCAACCCCCTGCTCAAGCTGGAGACAGCTATACCATTTCAGACAAATTGTCCCAAAGGCGCTTTTTCTTCTGAGCTGAAGAAGCTTGTCAGATGAGAAACCAAATATCTTCAAAGAAAAACCAGAAAGTCCAGTTGCCTCTAGAAAAAGCACCTTTGGGACCTGGATGACTGAGAATCTCTACAGACTTTTAGCTATACAATTTGGGATGAACACTCCTTGAATGTAAAATACATAAACATTTCAGACAAATGGCTGTCCAGGCTTTTTTTTTTTTTAAGTCTCCAGTGATGGAGCATCTATAACTTCTCCTTCCACTGGCTTTATTGTTCTGTCAGGAGCATATGACCTATAAGTTATAAGATTTTCAAGGGAGCATGACCATAAATTGCAAGATTTTGAAGGGAGCATGACCTATAAATTATAACATAAGTAAGATTTTGAAGGGAGCAGGGGACAAAGCGTGGCCACCATTTCTTATTAAAGGGTGCATGTGCTCACCCTCCCACCCTCCCGATGACAAAAGCAAGATCCCCAGCCAGCCAGCCAGACGGATTGGGATTCCTAAACTGTTGTTCCCACCTGGCTCCAGTGAAAAGCACACCTTACCTGTACTGCCACACTTTGCTACCGCTTCCTCCTCGGCTGCTGTTAAGCCCACCACCTCCGCCGATGCTGCTGCTGCTGCTGCACTTGCTGGAGCAGTTTTGGGCCGGGAGGAAAGTCTCCAGCTTGCCTTCGCTCTCCGACACCTTCATCGCCGTAACAACCGTAGCTGCCGGCATGGGCTCCCCGCTTTGCATGGCAAAACGAAAAAACCAAGCCGCCACCCCCGCCCACCGGAGGGGTGGGAGGAGGCAAGGCAGGGCTGCCGCACACTCGGGCCACAGCCGGGCAGGCCAAAAGGCAGCAAAAATGGCATCAATTTAAAACAAAGAAACACGGTCCTCAGCAGCAGCCTGGAAGGAAACTTTTCCTCGAGGGGAAAAATCGGAACAGAGACGCCCGAGGAGAGGAGGAGAATACGACCCCAAAGACTGGCTTCTTTCCCTCTCAATGGCGGGGAAGGGAAGAGTTCGCTGGCGGGGAAGGCGGCCGGGGACGGAGGGAGGCGTAGCCCGAGCTCTCTGGGACGGGTAAACAAGCGTGGGGAGGAGAAGGGGAAAGAGGGCAGAGAGCGCTGGGCAGGAGCCACAGGAGGAGGAGGAGGAGGAGGGCAGCGGCGGCGGCGGCGGCGGCGGCTCTTCTTCGCCCCTGCCCGGAGAAGGATGCTGCCGGCGCAAGGAGACCGAGAGAGGTAGGCTCAAGGCGGCTCTCCACCCAAACTAACCCAGAGGCGGCAAGGGCAACAGCTCCGCCTCCCTCCGCCCTCCTCAAACCCGGCAAAGAAGCCCCGCTCCTCACGCCCTCCCGTCAAGTCCACCCAAGGAAGGAGAGAGAGACCGAGAGAGAGAGAGAGACCGGCTCGGCCGAGCTGCCTCTCCCCGAGCCAGCAAGAAGCAGGCCGCCACCCCTTCCGGGTTAGCCTTAAACCCCACCCCACACCGCCTGAGAAGAGGAGGTGGCGCCGGCTCCGCCATGTTCGCTAAGGGCAGAGACCGCGACGCTCCCCGGCGCGAGCCAGGAAATAAAGCTGCCCCTCGTTTTGTGGTGCGTGCGTGCAAATGCAACGCATGTTTTAATTAAACGTAGCCGCGTATCGGGGCGGTGGAAGGGACATTAGGTGCGTGTGGGGATGGGTGGGTTCGGAGGCAAAGGTTGTGAGTGTAGCTCTTTGGACTGAGGTCGCCCTTCTAGTCGGTTGCAGTTCCCGTCCCTGCACGTGATGCCCTTCTCGCCACACCGTGGTGGGATGAAGAGGTTTCGGACGGTGTTCCAGACCTCGCGACGGCAATGGATCCTTTCTTGTGGACCGGGATCATTTCTCTCCCCCCCCCCCCCGTGTCTAATTTTAAATTCGCCTTCCAGAAAATCGGTTTTAACTAGCCATGCTTTTATTTTTATTTTTTTAATGGATCTTTGTGATATTTTTTTCTAGTAAGGTATATGCAACCGCACTACAATTATACCCTCTACAGGTCAGGAAACATGCAACTGGATAAGCACGGATATGTGTTTTGCTGCCAAATACTATAGAACACTATTTTTGGAAGGAAGGAAGGAAGGGGAAAAAGAAAGAAAAAGAAAGACTGGGAAGTAGTTTCTAATAAATTAATGTATTTAGTTAAAACCCAATAAATGCAAGTCAGGGTGGTCATTTTTACAAACGCTGCCGTCAATGGTGCAGGTCGTAAAGTAGCCCACAGAGTAGGAAGGTTCATAACAGNCCGGTGAGATTTGAACAGCCGAACTGCAGAACTAGCAGTCAGCTGAAGTAGCCTGCAGTGCTGCATTTAACCACTGCGCCACCTCGGCTCTAAAGAGGAGCACAGATAGTCCTCAACTTACAACCACAATGAAGCCGAAAATTTCTATTGCTAAACAAAACATTTGTTAAGGGAGTTTTGCCACTGTTTCACGACCTTTCCTGGCGCCGTTGTTAAGCGGATCACTGCCCACGGAGGAGAACTACAATGCTGATCCGGCTCTCGGAAGAAATCCAGTTTGACCACCCCTGTTGTAGGTCATCTGGTCCAAATTGTAGGCTCAGCTGTGGTCGTTAAGTCGAGGACTCCCTGGATGATCCCAGGCGACCCCGTCGCATACCTTTTCAAGTTTGTTTTGCAAACAACTTTGCCTTTCTTTTGCAGAAGTGAACCTGGCCTCCGGGGAAAAGAGAGAAATTTCATCCGCATGGTGGGCTTTCCCTTTCCACACACCCCCAGCTCAGCCCCCAGCCCACTTTTCCTACAGAATCAGGCCCCAACTACGTGGCACCCTTCGCGCTTTCCATCTGGAGCACTGGCTGCTCTCTTAATACACGTTCAGCTTTCTTGCTTTTCCGGCCTGTAATTAACACAGATCCTTTTGTGCTTCAAATGAGCTCATCGTAAAAAGTTAAGATGCTCGGGCACATTATTAAGAATTGTGTGTGGGGGGCAGGAGATGAGATTTGTGGTTGCGGAGAAGATCAGGTCTCTTAAGATGCCCTTGGAAAAAGCATGCGCTGAAACTCTTCGGAAGGGATGAATCACGTTCTGGTGGTCCTTTGACTTAACGACCATATTTGGTTGTCCTTGATTTAAGACCGGAATTTCTGTTTCTGAGTTAAGGGAGCCCGTGCCTCCTGTGCAAAGTTTCTTGCTAGGGTGAATCCCAGATGTTGCTAAGTGATTCATGCAGTCGTTAAGCGAATCCAGCTTCCCCTCCCTGTCAGATGACGACCGGGACGATCACAGAAGCTCACATTTCTGTTGCTAAACGAGACAGTGGTTAAGTGAGTTTTCCCCCATTTTGCAACCTTTTGTGCCACGGTTGTTAAGTGAATCAGTCCAGTCGTTAAGTGAGTCACACAGTTGCTAAGTGAAGCTGGCATCCCATTTGCTTGGCTTGTCAGAAAGTTGCAAAAGGGGACTTTCCCCTAGATTTATCCTGGGCTTCATAATAAGATAACAAAAAATAAAATAATAAGAAGCAGGAGAAGGAGAGGAAGAGGGGGAGGAGAAGGAAGAATAAGGAGGAGGAGAAGTAGTAGTAGTAGTAGTAGTAGTAGTAGTAGTAGTAGTAGTAGTAGTACCACCACCAGATTCACTTAACCACCGGGTTACTCCTTTAAGAACCGCAGTGATTGGACATTAAAAGTAACAAACTTAGCAGGGATGGCTAAAATTTCAGCACATCTTAAGGACCACTCAGATGAGAAATATAAACTGGAGTGGAGAAGATGGATTCACTATATTCAAAATATCCAAAATGGAGCCGAGATGGCGCAGTGGTTAGGGTGCAGTATTGCAGGCCACTTCAGCTGACTGCTATCTGCAGTTCAGCGGTTCTAATCTCACCGGCTCAAGTTTGACTCAGCCTTCCATCCTT